CCTCCTCCTCCTCCTCCCCCTCCTCCTTCCCCTCCCGCGAGCCCCAGGCCCACCGGCAGTCGCGGCGCACGATTAGTACGTCACACCCGGCGAAGAGCGGTGGCGCAGCCACCACGCGCCCAGTCCCGCCTACCGAAGAGCGAAGACGCCACGGGACGGCCCCGCCCCGAGCTCCGCGCAGGGCTGCGCCTGCGCACATCCGCTGACCTGGCCGCGCGTGGCGGCTCATCTCTTGCTTTTTGCGCCTGCGTGCCTCCTTACGTCCCACGCACAACCTTAACTTCTGCGAGCTCGTGGACCTCTACGTAGTGCCCCCTTTGGTCCGGTGGGGAGCTCCAGAGGAAAGTCAGGAGGGAAGGGAGATCCTGGTACGGGGAAGGAGCCGAGGCGAGGTTGTTGGAAATGGAGCCGGATATCCATTCTTTTTTTTTTTTTATTATTATTTAACTTTAAGCGGGGCTTGAGCAGAAAAGAGAGCTCAGAGGCGTGTAGCAAGACCAACGTCAGGACGTACGTTTCATCCAAGGCTTTTCGGAGACCAATCCCAGCCCAGAGGGGCTTGGAGTGGCCTTCCATGCCAGGGGAGTAAGAGCATGAAAGGCAAACCTTGGGACCCAAAGAGTAATGTAGCTGCAAAGGAACCATCGTCGTCATTGGGCACCGCCTGCGGAGGGACGCATAATAGATTACATTTCTGGGGATAGTGGTGGAAACTGGAGCTCCGTAGATGGAGAGAAGGAAATGAGGATAAGGCTTCTTGTGGAGTGAAGAGGCAGAGGGTACCTGCAGATAGGTGTGGCATAGGGAACGAGGGTTTTCCCAAGCTTCGTGGACTTCTGCCAGTCGGCAGAGTGATTCCCTCAAACCGCCGCTAGATGGTGGTGCTGTTCTGGATGCATTCCAGTGGACCCATGGCAGTTCTGGACAATGCCTGGCACCCACCCCCCACCCTAACCTACACAAGAATTTAGGACTGGATGGGGGACAAAAGCAAGATATCTATGAAATCAAAGTCTAGGGGGGTAGGAATGGAAAGGGAAAACGAAGGAAAGGAGAGTTAAACCCTGGAAGAGACCTCTGTTCCTGCCCATTCCCTGTCCTTTGTCTAGCTAGGCAGCTCTTGGCTGTTCCCAGTATGTACCCACCCTGGTCTTCCAAGCTGAGAGCCACCTTTTATAACACAATCACAGTTTCACAAACCCCAGGAAGGTTCCATGTGGAGAGAGGCTAAGTTTCGCCCTTGCCCGGGGAATTATGACACTCAGAATATCCCCTTGGTGTAAATGGAAGACACCTGAGAAAAAGGAGACAGTAGATGCCCGGTCACAGCCATCCACTCTGATGTTTCACCCTGCCTTCTCTAGCTCCACCTTTTGTCTGCCACCTGTACAGACCCAGGCATTCCGCACTTCATTCCTCAGATTACCACTTCTAACCCCACCCCCGCCCCCCGTCGTAGCTTCCTGTACCTCTATGCCCAGGTCAAAGATGTCCTACTTCCCTCACATCCACCCTTCACTGCCCACGTGGCTCTCACCTGCACTATAGCAGCTATTGTAGGCCCGGTCTGGGTTAGAGGGCATACTTCGTATACATCGAAATAGAGTCTCCTGCCTTCCCTGGCTTTCCCGAGACATCACTTGACCCATGGTGAAAGTCACGTCATGAAACAGGACCTAGCAGGGAAAACAGGAGATGTTGAAGAAAATAGGATGATCGAGCTCGGTGGCTCAGCCTGTAATCCCAGCGCTTTGGGAGGCCGAGGTGAGTGGATTGCCTGAGCCTGCAGGTTCGAGACCCGCCTGGGCAACTTGGCAAGACCTCATCTCTACAATAAATCAAAAAACTAGCCGGGCATGGTAGCGCATGCCTGTAGTTCCAGCTACTTGGAAGGTTGAGGCAGAAGGATCGCCGGAGCCCAGCAGGCGAGGCTGCGGTGGCGGGGAGCAGCCACTGCACTCCAGTCTGAGCAACAGAGTGAGACTCAAACTCAAAAGAAAGAAAGAAAGAAAGAAAGAAAATAGGATGGCATAGCTCAGTTCTGGGAGGCTTCGGGAGCCCTGACAAGAAAACCAGGAAATAAAGGGTCTTCTAAGTTTGGTATGAACAGAAGGATTGGGACTCCTCAATAGCAGGGCATACAGGCTCTGGGAGAACAGTGAAGAGCCTGCCTCCACGCCCCATGTGAGGTCAGAGTATGGCTGGGGTTACCTGACTGTACAGCAGATAAATTCCAGCATCCTGGACTCGGACTACATATCCTTGGGCTTCCAGACCTCTCCCGCGCCTAAGGGCTGGTTGCCACATCACCTCTGTCACATCAGAGTCCTCTGGAGGTAGGGGTATGGCGGTCAGGATTTCTGCACTCTCAGGTGCTTATGGGCCTAGGTGCCAGCCCAGAATTCCCAGTTCTTGCCCCGCCCCAAAAGCCATTATTTAAAATAGTGCTCACCCTTGGAGGTGATGTTAATGGGAACAAGGTGCAGAACTGAGTGCTTCTCTGAGGAGGGAAGGAGGGAATCTCAGCAGCGTCCACCTACTCCAGGTGCCCTGTTGTCAGCCTCCACCCTTCCCCCGGCTCGGCTCACAATCCCCAGGCTGCTTGATCACCTCCCACCCCTGCTGCACCCTGGAGGCCTCACTCTTGGGTTTCTGTTTCTGGGTGAGCACTGATCTCCTTTTCCGAGATCTCTCCCCATTCTCCCAGGCTTCCATGGCATCAAGACTCTGTTCATGGAAAGAGGGTCAGGGTTAGACTAAGAATCCCACACAGCCTTCCTTCCCAGCCCTCCCCTGTCCCAGCAACGCCTCAAATCTCTCATGTACCTTTCCCCAGCACCCTGAGTCAGTGTTGGCTGCCTTCCAGGATCTGTTAGTTATGCGAAGCATTCACCTTTAACAGTTTCCTTTCCTGGAATGGCCACTCCCCTGACTTCCAACCCCGAGACCCTCTCTTGTACCCCCTTGAAATTTTGCAGACCAGGAAGCCCAGAGATACCCTCCTCCCCCCCACTGCCACCCATCCTTCTCTCCCAGACACCCTTCTCCCCTCACTCACCTGCTCCCGGAGGCTCTGCCAGGGATACCCTTCCCCTTTCTGGGAAGGCCCTCCAGTCCTCTGCAGCCGACTCACCTCTCTCCTTAGGCTTTGCAGCTCTGTTTGTTGGGTCAGCAGAGCCATGGCACAAGCCACAGCCCCCAGAGCCGCCCCCCAACTCAACCAGAGGGCAACTGAGAGTGCCGGCTCTCGGACTGGACCCCCCATGTCACCTGGGGACCCTTTGGGGGCTAGCAAGAAAGAAGATGAAGCTGGCATGAGCTGGGGACCCTGCCAACAGCTGTGGCCTCAGGAGTGGGGTGGCAAGGAGGTAGCAGAGAGTGTGGGGGTGCAGGCAGTGGTGCAGAAGGGAAGAAGAGTGTTACGCAAGGGAGAAATAAAAAGGAACTTGAGAATAAAAAGGAGGGAGAGAAAAACAAGCTAGGGGTACTATCAGTGCTCCTGGCACCCCATGTGGTACCAGTGGTTGCCTTGAGACCCCCGCCCTCCCACAGCCTCAGGAGAATTAGGTGCCAGTCCCTCTAAGAAGGACAGGGCTGCTAGTGACACCCAGGAGGAGCGACCAGTGTGCAGGAACCCTGGGACAGTCCCAGAGTTGGGGGAGGGAAGGTTGGCTGGCTGTGGGGCATGGTGCCAGGAGCAGGATGGGGGGCCAAGCTGGGCAGTGGCCAGGGTCGGGTGAGGGCAGAAGACCCTCTGGCTCAGGGACAGGAGAGACCTCTAGGGCAATTTGCCAGGGGTGACTGAATGTGGGAAAGGAGGGGTTGGGGGCTAGTGGGCAGGAGAACCAGGGGCACTGAAGCAAGAAACTGGCTGAGCTCTGGGGTTAAGCCTGGGCTGGGTGTGTTGGAATAAGGCCTGCACTACTCCCTGCTGAACTTGGCAAGCAGCACTTCCTGTTTCCCAAGAAAAGCTCTTACATAAGGCTCTGGATGAAGAGACAAAGAGGCAGCCCCAAGCCCCCCAGCTGCTGCAGGATTCCGCCCAGGGGCCCGGGTTCCTGGGTACCTACAGACTCTGAGCCCCCCAGGCCTGCCCCTCCCCCGCCTCCCAGCCAGGCCTGTGCCAGCACCTGCGGAATATCCCGAGGCCACCAAGAGGAAGGGCCCCTGCTCCTCGCAGCCAGGGATTCTCCCTGCAGGAGGAAGTCCGCCTCCTAGGGAAATGAGGCCGCTTCTGTTGTACCTTGGGTAGAGGACTTTTTTTTTTTCCTGCTGGGCAGTGTGCCTTTCTACTCTCTGCTCACGCCTGAGAGTTGGAGGCATTAGGTCCCCACTTCCCAACTGAACATCGCCCTCGAATTCCAACCCCACATCCCAATGCCCCCTTTCCATGGCCCTCAGCTGCCCTGAGAATGTCTCCTTAGTCCCAATAAAGAAAGAGACCATGACTTACTCTCTTTAATATCCACTTATCAACATTTTGTCACAATAATAATAAAAATAATATCTGTTTTAAAAATCCACAGGGAATTCTCAAGGGAGGAGCTTGTCTTAGTCTCTCACCCCTCACATTTGGGAACTCTTGGCCTAAGCCCAGTCTCTTTGGCTTCCAATCGCCAGGTCCAGCCCCTCTTAGTGCCTGAAGCGGGATCTTCTGGAATCATCCTTGCCCACAGAGTACAGTGAACACAGCATCCTAGAGGGCTGTGGCCAGGGGGAGTAGGGATAAATGGCCTCAATAGATCAGAGTGGAGAGTGGGAGGTGGGGGGTGTTGAAAAAGAAGAATAGGAATACTGTATTTATGTGGGATGGAAAACACGTGAACAAGCCCTGGCAGCCTACAGAGGGAGCAGCAAGTCTGGAGCGAGGAGCAGCTGAGGGTGGGGCAGAGGGGACTGGGGAGCCGGCAGCCTGGGAGAACCGCCGGGAGACCAGGATCCCTCAGTGAACTTGAAAGAGTCCAAAGTAGGTGAGGAAGGGGGCAGCCTTGAGATGGGCCCAGGGGAGGGTGCGAATCCGCAGGGAGGACCCTGGCCGCAAGGGCAACAGCCCAGACACCTGGCAGAGGCGAAGCTGGGGCCCCAGGGAACTGGCTGCTGTGGCTGAGAACTCCTCTAGGCAGCGCAGGGCCAGCATGTCATCCACCAGCAAGTCCAGCTTCAGGTAGACAGCCTTCCCCTCATCGAAGTGCACCTGGGAAGGGGAAGGCAGGCAGAGTCCAGTCCTCTGCTTACCTTCAATTCCAAATTTCCTTAGAGACCCAGGCATCCCATCCCGCTCAAAACCCAAACCCTTCCTCCCAGCCTTTAGCTTGTCCTTCTGTCTCCCCCCAAACCAAGCCCTTCTCCCCTCAGTTACCCATGGAGCCAGGTGGGGCTTACCTGACAGTACAGGTAGTAGAGCCCAGCCCGGGTGACTATAAATTCCCCGATTTGGCGGTCATAGCGCAGAGGGTTGGAGCTGTTGATTTTGGCTTCCTCCCAGCCACTCACCGTCCCGTCCACACCTGAACATGGATGTTCAGAGATAAGGGAAAGTCTCTTACAGCACTTTCACACTCCCCAGGAATCCCTTGAGTTTATAAACATTTGGGGCCCACCTTACCCAGAAGACACATAGATCACCCAGGGTAAGGGAGGAGCCCATAATGTAATAGGAAGTTATGTGAAGAAATCTAATGTATATGACGAGCAACATTCAGAGCAAATTATCGCTAGTGGTTGCTTCTGGGGCGAAGAGTAGGATCCTAGCACTTTGGGAGGCCAAGGCTACAGGATTGCCTGAGTCCAAGGATCAAGACCAGTCAGGGCAACTGGGGGAGACCTCGTCTCTATAAGAAATCAAAAAAATGAGCGGGGTGTGGTGGCATGCACCTGTAGCTACAGCTATTTGGAAGGCTGAGGTAGAAGGATCGCCTGAGCCCAGCAGGTCGAGGCTGCAGTGGCTGCAAGCGTGTCACTGCACTCCAGCCTGGGCGACAGTGAGACTCCGATTCAAAAAGAAAAGAAAAAGAAAACATTATGCTCAGTGAAAGAAGCCAGACACAAAAGACCACATATTGTACGATCCCATTTATATGAAGTGTCTAAGAAGGCAAATATATAGAGATAGAAATTAGGGCTGGGGGAATGATGGGAATAGGTGGTGATGGCTAAAGAGTATAAGGTTTCTTTTTGAGATGAGAATGATTTAAAGTCACCATGGTGATTGATGGTTGCACAACTCTGGGAATCTACTAAAAACTGTTGAACACTTTAAGTGGGTGACCTGTATGGTATGTGAATTATATCTCAATAAAGCTGTTATTAAAAAAGGCTTAGAGCTAGGGTAATTGCAAGGTGCAAAGAAGAGGAATAATAAAATGATAGAACAGGGTGACCAGCCAGGCTCGGTGGCTCAGCCTGTAATCCCATGCCTTGGAAGGCTGAGGTGAGTGGATTGCCTGAACCCGCGGGTTCGAGACCCACCTGGGCAACTTGGCGAGACCTCATCTCTACAATAAATCAAAAATTAGCCAGGCGTGGTGGCGCGTGCCTGTGGTTCCAGCTACTTGGAAGGCTGAGGGGGAAGGATCGCCGGAGCCCAGCAGGTCGAGGCTCCCGGCCACTGCACTCCAGTCTGGGCAACAGAGTGAGACTCCAACTCAAAAAAAAAAAAAAAAAGAACAGGGTGACAAGGGGCATCCCTGGTCCACCCTATCTATGTCTTCACTCCCATCTCACATGTCCACTTCCCCAACTCACAACCTTCAACCACTCGGCCTTCTTTCTGTTCCTGCCATGCACCACCCAGGTTCTCCCACTCTTCCCGGACACTCTTCACAGGACTCCTCCCCTAGCTGGCAACTTCTGTCTTCCTGGGTCACTCAGTTTAAAATCACCAGCCCCAATCCTGCCTGCATTAATCTCTTCATATCACTCTGTTTCTTTCATAGCCATCACCACCATGAGAAATTACCTTGTTTATTTATCTGTGTGTTAGTTTGGGGTCTGACTCCTCCACGAGAACAAGTGTGGCTGACTGTCTTGTTCATTGCTGTGTCCCTGGCACCTGGAGCTGGGCCTGGTCTGAGTGGGGACCCAATAAACTCTTCCCTTGGCAGGAAGACCAAGGGCATGCGAGGGAATGCAGTTTGGGTCTCTCCTCATTTGAGTCGTCACTGCTCTTCAGGGTTGTAGGAGCCTTGGCAGTTGCCTTCCCCAGCCCTCTTCCTCTGCCAGCCCCAAGCTCTGTCCTTGTCACTTTTTCAAGTAAAAAGAAAACTTTGCTGGACATTTTCATTCCCACCTATAGGATATCCTGCAGAGTCCTGTGAGTCTTCAGCACTGATGTTTTCTGCCCTTCCTCACCCTGCTGACTGCCGTTTGAATAGCAACGGCACCTCGTACCCTCAGCTTGACCAACGCTGAGCTGACTTCTCTCACCCAGACTTGCTGTACTGTTTGCATTCCACATTTGGCTTATGGTTCTACCACTGACCGGATACCAAGCCTCCTACTACTTCACCCATTTTTTTTTTTTTGAGTCGGAGTCTCACTCTGTTGCCCAGGATGGAGTGCAGTGGCACACTCACGGCCACTGCAACCTCAACCTCCTGGACTTAAGTGATCCTTCCACTTCAACCTTCCAAGTAGCTGGGACTACAGTCGTGCACCACCACCACGCCCGGCTAATTTTTTAATTTATTGTAGAGATGAGGTCTCACCAAGTAGCCCAGGCTGGTCTCGAACCAATAGGCTCAGGCAATCCTATCACTTCAGCCTCCCGAAGTGCTGGGATTATAGGTGTGAGCCACCATGCCCAGCCATCCTTCACTCATTTTATTCATTGATCACCAGGCCCTATCAATTCTGCCTCCTGGCTGGACACGGTGGTTCACGCCTGTATCCCAGCACTTAGAGAGGCAGAGGCAAGAAGACTGCCTGAGTCCAGGAGTTTGAGACCAGCTGGGCGACATGGTGAGACCTCATCTCTACAATAAGTCAAAAAATTAGCTAGGCATGGTGGTGTGCACCAGTAGTCCCAGCTACTTGGAAGGCTGAGGCAGAAAGATTGCCTGAGCCCAGGAGGTTGAGGCTGCAGTAGCTGTGATGGTGCCACTGCACATCCAGCCTGGGCAACAGAGTGAGACTCAGACTTAAAAAAAAAAATTGCCTCCTAAATAGCTCTGTGTCTCCCTTCCCTTTCCCCATCTGGTTTCCCACTGGGACTACCCTCAGCCTCCTCACTGCACTCCATTTCCAGTCCTGCTTTCTTCAGTTTATTCCCTGCACCAAGCAGATGTGAGCCTGCCTCACCTCACCCCTTCCAATGGCTCACCTCAGAACAGCTCCCACCCTGGCTATGGCCTGGCTTCTGTCTTCTCCATCCTTGTACCTATCTTGTTCCTCTAGCACTTTCTGCTTCTGCCACTCTGAACTCACAGTCTACCAGCCTCATCCTTCTCTGGGAAAACCCAGGGTTTTTGCTCCAGGGGTTCCTTCTCCTTGTACCATCCTTGACCCCTTGTCTGTCTTACACTCACCCTTCAAGGCCCATCCTAGGGAAGAAGGTCATGACTGTGTTAGTGTCTGTCTTTCCCGAGCTGCCATGTAACTTTGGCCACTTTAATTATTGTTCTTGTCATATTGCACTGTAATTACAAATTATATGCTTGCCTCCTCTCCTAGTCAGTGACTCTGAGAGAATAGATCTGAGTATAAGTCGCTGTGGGCACCTAGCCAGGCCCCTAGCAAATACTTAGTCCTCAGTGCATTTGTGTCAAGTCAATGAAAGAATGAATGAACGTCTGGATAACTGCCAGAAGAAGTGATCTATACAGAAGGGAAGAAGGCTGGTCTGGGCATGATGAGTAGTGAAGACAGAGAAGAGAGCCAGCCTGAGCAAACACTGCTTGTAGCCAAAGGTCACGGTGTGCCTGGTACCATGGAGGGGTTGCCTGGGGTCACTCATCTCCAGCCACAAACCTCACAGGGACATTCCATACTGCCTGGCAATCCTACCTTCTCCCATTAAGCTTGCTTTGTACTCACCAAGATGGTTCTTTCTTTCTTTCTTTTTTTTTAAGAAACCACAACTCTTTATTTTGAAAGGCTGAAGAATAGGCTTACCCATAAGTTAGCTGGAGTTTCTGCTTTTAGAACCCGTTATGCCCCCAAGGAGTGCACCGTTTCTGGAAGTACTGCAATACCAGGTCGATGTGTGGAGTGGACAGAGCAAGCTCCTCTTCCAACTCCCTGCCCCCAAAATCCATCTAATATATTGTCCTCAGCTGGGCTCGGTGGCTCAGCCTGTAATCCCGCGCCTTGGGAGGCTGAGGTGAGTG